CATTAGACAACAACAAATGAAGAGGTTCTGGATTGAAAATCCATCTTTTGACAGCTTGTAGAATGAAAGAAGGGGAACAAGCAGGCGAGAATCCATACCGGTTTCCACTGACCAGTTCCGGAGGTCGGTCAGATTTTTCAGAATGATTTAGAAACCCCGGAAAGAATACCTCAACCTCGTTTCCAGGGTCTATCATCTTCCCTCCCTCCCTCTCCCTCGCTCCGGGAGGGCGGGATGATGAGTGACCCTGGAAATGAGGGTGAAAAAACCTTTGAGAGTTAAAATCCAAACCTTGGCCTAAAGGAGGCCTAAAGGAGCATGCCCCTGGACCCCTCTAAAAACTTAGGCCTCCGGCACTCGTTGTTTCGGAAATTGATCACCATTTATCCTAGATCCGCGCCTGACACGATTACTTCCTCAGGGGTAGAATAGTGACTGGGGAACGATTTCTAAACTTATAGCATCTCCATCTACTGAATACATGAGTGTAAAGGCAATGAGATTTTTTCCTCACTCTCAGTACGCTAGCTATACACTAAACAAATAAACTACTCTGGGCTAAAAATAGGTGCTGATATTTCTCCGCTTATACAGTTGAACTCCGCGTTTTTTAAATCTTGGGGAAACGCAAGAAATGCAAGCCGGGGCTCGAGATAGCCGAGAGTAAATGACGGAAAGGTATGCCAAGGGAAAAATGACTTGAGTTCGAGACAGCGACACTTGATTTTTTTTAGGAGGAAAACAGTGTAACGCTCGACAAAACCAGTAAGTTTCTACAACAGAGGACAATGTGATTGAGCATCTTGGAATGCAAAATCTCGCGCACTGCAATAGAACATTACCAGTTCAGTGATTGCACACGTTCGGTCCAGTTGAACCTCTCCTTACGGACACTTCTATAATTCCGACACTCGGCTCTGGCCCTTTGTCACTGGATTGTATTGTTTAGTATCGCCGTCAAAGTTTAGAAAGTACATAAACTGATACGGATGAACCTCGGCAAACGATATTTACATTATAGAACCATACATGTATAGTTTAACAGTGCGATCTGTTTTACAAATATATGACAAAGGTAATTTAATAACATTGTATCATTTGGTCTCCCTCGTTCGCATGAAATAAGTGTATGCGTTACGCAAGTTAATTTAAAAGAAAATGTACGAACATTTTAGAACGAGAGGCCAAAAGTTCTGTAGTAAGGTAGTAATGAAGTACCACGTGACCTTAGCCTGCGGCAGGTTTCGACCGTACAAAGAGGGTCTTGTAAGAGACCGAACCCTCAAAAGCG